CCAATCCGAACATGAACATAAGTGTAATAACATCATATAAACTCGCTCGCTACCTCAAATCATCAAAATAACATCAAATAACAAGAATCGGTTATCAAAACTTAAGATTCTAACTTCAAAACTCATCTTTCACAATCTTTCACATAATGCGCTGAAACGCGCTCGGGTCACCCCGGACCTCAACCAAACGTGCCTACAAGTCCAAAAATATTATAGAACCCTATCGAAATTATTAAAATACCGATTCGAGGTCATTTACCAACAATGTTGACCATGGTCAACTCTAGTTGTTTTTAACGCTTTCTTTAAATTTTTACATAAAAGCTTTTCGAAAAATGATACGGACCATGCACGCAAATCAATAAATATCAAATGAAGCTATGCGAGGTCTCAAAATATAAAAATCAAGGCTAGTACTCAAAACGACCTATCGATCTTCACATTCTCCACCTCTAAAAGAAACGTTCGTCCTCGAACGAACATAGAAAAGTACATGAACTGGTAAAAAGGTAGGGGTATCTACTCCGCATATTGGACTCGCACTACCATGTATCCTCCTCGATCAGATGACCTCTCCATTGAACTTTCACATAAGGAAAATTATTAGATCTCAACTTTCAAACTTGCTGGTTTAGAATAGCCACCAGATCCTCCTCACAGGTTAAATGCTTATCAAAATGCAGCGTATTGAAGTCTAAAATACTTGATCTGTCCTTATGATACTTCCGAAGCATGGAAACCTGAAATACCGGATGTACCCCTGCTAGGCTAGGAGGCAATGCAAACATGTAAGCAACTTCTTTAACTTTATCCAAAATCTTGAATGGACCAATAAACCTCGGGCTCAACTTGCCCTTCTTTCCAAACTGCATCACGCCCTTCTTAGGCGATACTCGGAGAAGAACCTTCTCACCCACCATGTTAGCCATATCTCGAACCTTCCGATTCGCATAACTCTTCTACCTGGACTGAGTTTTATGAAGTCGCTCCTAAATTACCTTAACCTTCTCCACAACATCATGTACCAAATTAGTGCCCAATAATCTAGCCTCTCTAGGCTCAAACCAACCAATAGGCAAATGACATTGCCTCTCATATCCTCATATGCAGCCATCTGAATGCTCGACTGATAGTTGTTGTTGCAGACGAACTCCACTAGAGATAAAAACTGGTCCCACTGACCCCCGAAATCCATAGAGCATGCCCACAACATGTCGTCTAAAATCTAAATACTATGCTCGAACTGCTCATCCTTCTGAGGATGTAACGCAGTACTTAGCTCGACTTACGTGCCTTACATACGTTGTATGGATCTCTAAAAATATGATGTAAATTGTGTGCCTCGGTCAGAAATGATGGAAATGGGCACGCCATGCAGGAGGATAATCTCCCAGATATAAATCTGAGCCAACCACTCTGAAGAATAGGAAGTCATCACCGGAATAAAGTGCGCGGACTTAGTCAATCGGTCCATAATGACCCAAACTAAATCATATTTCCTCAAGGTTTGTGGTAAGCCTACCATAAAATCTATAGTGCTGTGCTCCTACTTCCACTCCGATATCTCCAATCTCTGAGTCAACCCTCCTAGTTTTTGATGCTCATACTTCACCCATTGACAATTCAAACACCGAGAGACATAAGCAACAATATTTTTCTTCATTCTCTGCCACCAATAGTGTTGTTTAAAGTCAGGGTAACACCTGGTGAATGGAATAGCGCGAACTGTGAGCCTCCTCAAGGACCAACTCTCTCAACCCATCAACATTTAGAATATAAATCCGACCTTGAACCCGCAGAACACCATCATCTCCAATCACAATCTACTTGGCACCACCCTGTTGCATTGTGTCCCTCAGCACTAACAAGTGGGGATCATCAAACTGGCAAGCCTGTATACGCTCCAACAATGATGATTGTTCCATAACACAAGCAAGAACCCAGCTAGGCTCCAAAATATCCAGCCTCTCGAACTGATTGACTAAAGCCTGAACATCCATGGCTAGTGGCCTCTCCTCTACTAGTAAATATGCCAAACTTCCTATGTTCTCAGCCTTCCTACTCAATGCATCGGCCACTACATTGGCCTTCCCCGTGTGATATAGTATGGTTATATCATAGTATTTCAGCAACTCTAATCATCTATACTACCGCAAATTAAGGTCCTTCTGCTTGAAGAGGTGCTGGAGACTCCGATGATCGATATATACCTTAAATGGAATGCCGTATAGATAATGCCTATAAGTCTTCAGTGCATGAACAATGGCTGCCATCTCTAAATTATGCATAGAGTAATTCTTCTCATGAACCTGCAACTGACAAGACGCGTAGGCAATCACCCTACCATCCTGCATCAGCATCGTGCCAAGCCCAATACACTATGCATCACAATACATGGTGTAAGATTCTGAACTTGTAGGCAAAAACAACACTGGGTTGTAATCAATGCAGTCTTGAGCTTCTGAAAGCTCACCTCACACTCGTCGGACCATCTGAAAGGAGCACCCTTCTAGATCAATCTAGTTAAAGGAGTTGCTATGGTTGAAAAACCCTTCACAAAACAGCGATAATACCTAGCCAGTCTAAGGAAACTCCGGATCTCATTAGCGATAGAAGGCCTGGGCCAACTCTGAACTGCCTCAATCTTCTTCGGATCCACCTTCATCCCCTCACTGGACACCACGAGGCCTAAGAATATCACTGAATCAAGCCAAAACTCTCTTTTGGAAAATTTAGAATAAAGCTTCTTCTCTCTCAAAGTCTGGAGCATGATCCTCAAATGCTGCTTATGATCCTCCCGACTACAAGAATACACCAATATGTCATCAATGAACACGATGATGAAGGAATCAAGATATGGCTTCATCAAGTGCATAAAGGCTACTGGGGCATTGGTCATCCCAAAAGACATCACCAAAAACTAATAGTGACCATAGCGGGTCCTGAAAGCCATTTTTGGAATGTCTGAAGCCCGGTTATTTAACTGATGGTACCCTGACTTCAAGTCAATCTTTGAGAATACCTTAGCATCTTGAAGCTGATCAAACAAATCATCAATACGCGGTAGTAGATACTTGTTCATGATAATAACCTTACTTAGCTGCATGTAGTAAATACACATTCTCATAGTGTCGTCCTTCTTCAACACAAATAGAACATGAGAATCCCAAGGTGAGACATTCGGTCAGATGAAACCCTCATCAAGAAACTCCTGATGTTGTTACTTTAATTCCTTCAACTCCATTGGTGTCATGCGATATGGTGAAATAGAGATGGGCGGGGTGCCCGTCACCAAGTCAATACCAAAACCAATATCCCTATCGGGTGGCATGCCCGGTAGGTCTACCGAGAATACATCTGGAAAGTCTCTCACTACCGGAACTGACTCAACGGTTGGAGTATCAACACTAACATCCCTCACGAAGGTTAAGTATGCCAATAACCCCTTACCTACCATTTGTTATGCCTTCATAAAAGACACCACCCTGCTAGGAACGTGACTCAATGAACCTCTCCCCTCCAGCCTCGGCAATCTCAGCATAGCCAACATCACGGTCTTAGTGTGACAATCTAGAATGGCGTGATATGGTGAAAACCAATCCTTGCCCAAAATAACATCAAAGTCCACTAAACTGAGTCTACCCCCGATCCTTAGTGTGACAATCTACAATGGCGTGATATGGTGGCAACCAATCCTTGTCCAAAATAACATCAAAGTCCATCAAAGTCTACCCTAGTCTCAGAACCCCCGATAAAGACCACACATGAATGATAGACATGGTCTACCACAATAGAATCCCCAACATGCATAGACACA